ATTGGGAAACTCAAATATGAAAATTTGACTGCTCAGACAGGGAATAGGAGGAAGGAACATATCAACATACAATTTGTTGCTTTCTCCCGTCTCTAACAAGAACATCTTTTTTTCTTGGAGAAATCAGTCTCCAACAATGTTTGATCATGTTATGGAGTGTCAGCAATCTATGCCACCATCAACATGTCCTCAACCCGAATATGACCAGATAGCTACACTAGAATTGAATCCTAATATAATATTTTCTACTTTTGCCAATGTACAAGAAACACATAGGCTTTCAAAGCATCCTGGAAACTCTAATTGTCCAGAAATTTGTCAACTCTTTTGTGTCAGCTGTGTGTGCGAAGAGCATGCTACTGTCCCTCGAGGGTACCAAGTGCCTCTTTTAAAAGCTTCTGAGCTTCTTCCCTTCTCCTATAAAAGCAAATAGAAAACCAACATCACGACTTAAGTGTCATATTATCAAAGAAGAAAAAGACAAGATAGAGAAAATTTATGCCCATATACAAGCCAACAGATACATAATCGCAGCGCAATTCCATGATATTGCTGCATTAATTGAATTGAATAATCTAGAAAAACGTTTGGTATTTTTCACCAAAACTTATAGGAGATTTTCACAGAATAAAGGAGCAAAAGCGTAAGGTGCAACATATTTGTCTCCAATAGAAGTACTTTAGCAGGGGCAGAAACCATCTGTGCTGATGATAGAAGTAAATAAGTCAAAAACTCAAAGGAGCTTCAAGCATCTAAAGGCTGAGTTAGACATCCAAACCCCACAGGGATGATTAGCAGGGCAAGACTAGCTGTTGAAGCTGGTCGACTCCCCCAAAAAAAGATAAAACCATACAAGGATGATTTTAACTGTAAGTGAGAAATAGGAGATTTTAATCTATTAACAACAGACTCAAGTGGTGTAACAGTTAAAAAGGGATATCACAAAGGGCCCACCGATCTGAGGAGGTATCCAAATTCAATGTCAACATTCTCTACTGGCTGGGATTTTATGCCCCTTACCAAAGAGATACAATAAAGTGAGCGGCACTTCTTTTAATTACCGACTAGTAGAAGTATTTTATTTGCCAAAAACTGCCTAGTATACCTGAGGTATACAGAAAACTATGTATGAAAGAGTTCTTTCACTGTTCCCATTCCTAGCAAGGTACTTAAGCAGCTAAACAAGATCAGGAGGAACTTCCTTTGGGAAGGGAACAGCAGATCTCACAAATACCATCTTATCGAATGGTCCAAAGTCACACAATCAAAAAGCAATCGCGGACTGGGTATTAGAGACTTGGCCTTACACAACAAAATCTGATCATGAAATGGCTATGGAGGTTTGGTACAGATGAGACGAGCCTTTGGAAGGAAGTAAGTGTTCTGCTAAATACGGTAGAAGTAATTGCTCTGTTAAACACGGTAGAAGGGACAACCGGAGAACAAAAAAATCTACTCCATCTCATGGGGTTGGTCCTTGGCAACACATCAGCAAGCTGGGAAATGGCTTCTTTGGTCAGGTATCTTTCAAAGCAGGGAATGGTTTAAACATTAGTTTTTGGAAGGATAAATGGTTATACAATACTCCACTCATGGAGGAATACCCAAATTTGTTTCAGATTGCCCAAGATAAGAATTCCTCTAGCTCAAAACAGATGTTGGGAACAGCTGGAGTGTTTTATTCAGAAGATATGTTCAGGATTGGGAAATAGATAGTGTGTTAGAACTGCTAGCAAGTATGGTGAGGTGCACCATTGATGAAACCAAGGCTAACAGAATGATTTGGGGACACAACAGCATTTTTACCAGCTACTATGTTCTCAGAATCAAATAATTGGATTCCTGGCTTTGGAATTCTAATCTGGAAGACCAAACTACCTACCAAGGTCACGTGCTTCAGCTGGATTGCTCTTAAGGAAGCCTATTTAACACAAGACAACCTCAACAACAGAAGGGGATTTCAATTGGTTAACAGATGCTATATGTCTCAAAGCAGTTTTGAGACAGTCAGCCACCTATTCTTCCATTGTAGAGTGGCCAAGGAATTATGGAATATGTTCTATTCCATCTTTTGTATCTAGTGGGTCGTGCCACAGCATATAAGTGAAGCATATACAAGCTGGAGCCTATGGAGAGCTGACAAGACCATCAAGAAGATCTTGGTGATGATCCCTGCAGTTATTTTCTGGTGCCAGTGGAATGAGAGGAACCATAGATGTTTTGATGGGATCTCAACTCCAATTCACTCTCTTAAAACTAGCTGTTTGCTTAACCTTTTTTGTTGGACAAAAAGCTAACTCCTGTAATTAGCTTTGACCATGTTTTAACTTTGTTAGTTCCCTGATTTTTTGACTGACACAATGTAAAGCGCTAACAAACTACATAGTATTTTTGTGCTCTAGTGCTTTGGTTTTTTTGTAACTTTGCATCTTCTTGATGCCTCTTTTAATGAAACACCTTACTTCATCTTTAAAAAAAAAAAAAATACTCCTTCCGCTCAATCATATGTACAAGTAGGGGTATTGTCTACTAAATAGTAAAATAAAGAATTAGAACCTAGCTCCACGAAATTGTATGCCTGATTTCTCTTTGCCTTCAACAGCTTTCCAATACTCCCCTCTAGCTTGCCACACATATAAATGTGGGGCACACCACATATAACGCTCGCCATTCCCCAAAAATTTCATGAAATTTAAAAACAATCATTTGATAGAATTTTGTTGCAGTTAATTACAACCAGTAATCCATCTTTCTCTTGGTATTATTTGAATAAAAGGACAAAAGAAAAAGAACAAGATAAAGCAAAGTTAAAACAAAAATGAAAAAGAACTGAACAGTCTGCATAAGTAATGACATATATAATCATAACTGGAAGTGTTCCATTCTCCAAAAAAAAAAAACTGAAAGTGACTGAACCGGCTTAAATCGTTTCTTTCACTTACAATACCTGTTTGTTGCAGCACAACTAGGTAGACACTTCCCATCTAACAAACGCCCTAGTTCTAATCAAAATCTAATGAAGAAAGAAGCTAAAATATATGATAAAAAGAGCATAAAAACACATCATACCGCTTGATATCCTCTATTGCTTGTTTACGTCGTTGTATTTGAAGTTCTAGAATATGGATAAGTGTAGCTCGAGCCTATAAAAGAAAGAACCAAGGTAAATGATAACTATAGATATATCTTCCATCCATGCTAAAACCAGGGAATATTTGGAAACTTCGATTCACCAATGTTTCACCTGGTGAGGACGCAATGAATTGAGTAGGTGGTGCAAATTCTTGAATATAAGAGATATCTCTTCCACTCTCCGGGCATATTGTGAAGGGCGCTCCACAAGAACATCAGCAAGCTCCAATATATGTAGCTGCAATTCTCTGTTAAGTGCTCTTAGTTCTTTCTTGAAATCTGTAACATGAATCAGCAAAATCAGAAAGATTACTTTTCTGACAAATGACAAATAGTATCTAAATTTTATCTCTGACAACATCCCATATGTAGCATCATCCAATGATCGGGGACATCATGGTACATCCTTTCAAGTTTCAACTAGGGAACAGATTCTGTAACATAACTTTTGCAATCTGTAGGTTCTCAGAAAGCTGAATATCTTTTGTCTAAGAATTGCGTGACCTAAATGACCCCTACCTTGTAACTAATGCAATGTGCAACATCCTAGATCCCCGCCCCAAAATCGAGACGCAGTTTCTTGAGGATATGAAGTTCTCATAGATTTCCCTATTCTTCATTCAAGTCACAAGCTCAGGCAAAGAGAACAGTAATGATAACAATGTAGTTTAACCTTATAGAAAAAATTTACTTGGAACGTACAAAGCAGGAAATAAATATGAGTGCAATTCTCCATGCAGACTCCGTATCTAAAATTAAAGACGATATATCACGAGACACAAAAAAGATGGGCCTAATAGTAAAAGATCCAAAAAAAAATATGGGATCTTTTTTTTTGATGAAGAAATCTGGGTCTAATAAAAGATTCATTCATATCAATCGTTCGCTTAGCTGAGGAGACACAGAGAAAGCTCTTCTCTTTCAATAGTGAGGCAACTCTCTGTCCAATTCTGTCCCGACTCCTGAATCAATTCAATCAGTGGTGAGATTATTTGATCACATACTAGCTTAAGCCTAGAATATGATATTAAATGTGATTGGCTCCTTTCACTCACCTAGCACTTGCCGAAAATATCTGTAAGATGACAGAGAAGGCAGTGAATTCTTATAAAACAGCTGCCGAGCAACCAGAGCTGTCCAAATGGAGGGCCAAAAAGGAAGATTTGAAGAGAAATGATCGTGTTGGTCTCACCATTAAAAACTAAAAATGGACTCTGCTTTTGAACTGATCCTTCAGTACTCTCAGTCAAAGATTGGGCCACTGAAAATGGTGAAATATTGGGAGACAAGGACATGAAGAATGATGCCACTAGTCAACTTTTCTACCCTCGCCGAAGTCCCAATTCTGTTCAAACTCTTGTCAAAAGGAGAAGCAAAGATAATTTGGATGAAGGTAATTGACGATTTTGGGAGGCTTTTTGGTTGCTTGACTGGTGCTCATTCTTTACTTTATTATTAGAAGAGAGAAAATGCGGGTAGTGAAAATTGTAGGAATATACATTTGCCATATATGGAGTCCTTCAATGAATAGGTGATATAGCGGTGGCTTTAATGATGTTGGCCTGGGTATCAATGTGTTGGACGATGAAGGTAGCAAAGTACCAAGAACATTTTGGTTGGTGACAGCTAGTTTGGCTACTGGGTTTAGATATTACAGGAGATGGATCTGAACTCACCACGAACCCTTGAGATTGACAAATAATAGTTAGCTCAGGACAAGGGGTCGATGTCGCCGGACGGAGTTAAAATATTAGATAAATTCATTGTAATATAAATTATAGTTATCAACAAATATCCTACATACACTTTGTATGTAAAAGCAGAATATTTACTCAATATTTGAATTAGAAAATAATTGTTTATCATATTATGTGTCAAAAAACTCTTGCGTTGGGAGTTTTTCTTGTACATTGTTATTTACTCAACGTAAGACTCGTCTCCTTTCTTCCCTGGTTTCACATGATACAGGTGCCACAAAAGTTAGGCCAACATTTATAGTGAAGATAGTACAGTCACCAACTCACCGTTCCATACCTCAATACTTATGTGAATCTGTCATCAAAGCGAATCTACCAACTAGAGCAATGCGGATATAGAAATTTGCCACTTGGCGTGTGGATCCTGTCAGTGTGCCACATCAGCTCTACGTCAAGTTCACTTACTAGCATGGCAAGCAGTCAAGTGCCACATTGATAGTCTGGTTAATCCCACATCATCAATCCAGCCCAGTCTACACCACAACTACGTCAACTCATCATGAAAGAAAAAACCATTCCTTGAGTTTTTCAACGTCCTGATCAGGTTCTACTTTTCTAATAAAAATGGCAATGTGAACAAAAATCAGAAATCTCGTTCAACAGAGAAGCTAATTTTGGTTTCTAATTTAGCTTTTGAAATTTAACACAACTAAGTTCTTGTCAACCATCTCACTCACATAAACCAATCATTAGTTACATGCATCAATCACTCTTCATCTATTGTGTCCTGGATTCTGAATTTAGAAGCTTCAGATATATATATTAACCTATTTTTCCAAATCTATCAAGAACAGTTACCCCGACCAAACACATCCAAACTATGGCCAAATGAGAAGATCAAATTCCCATTATTCTATCTTTAACTCTTAACACCTCCTATATGATTCTGAACTGCCATTAGACCTTACATCTATCAGGAAACCTACTCAGTCCGTTGAATATTCTATAACGTTTAAGTAATCAATCGGTTCCTGTTTTAGATAGAGGAGGATTGGCAAAGGACATGAGTCACGGGGCCTTTATTATCTCTTTAGTGCCTCGTCTTCTATGAAATGTACCAACGGTCAGTCTCCTCTTCTTATCCATAAGTATCTTGGTCATCCCTATCTCTCAAAGCTTCAACATGTAATTCCTGATTTTTCCTCCATGTCATGAATAAAATGTGAGCTGTGCCAATTTAAGGGATCAAAAACATTCTTCTTTACCAAAACTAACCAATAGTAGAATAGCATTCCCTTTATTTACATGATATATTAGAATAATCAAGTCGGGTTAATACTAGTTTCGACTTCTATTATTTTATCACCTTTATGTATAATTATAATCGCACCTTTTGAGTATTATTAATGAAAAGTCGCTCCTAGCTATTTCCTATATTTAAATAATTCTGTGTCAAAATTAATATCAAAGTTGGAGTCCATAATCGCACCCTACAGAGTGACAATTGCCAGAGAGTATTTCACGAGTCATTTCAGAAGATTCATGTCTTTTCAGAAAATATTCCATCAATCGATTGATCCTCCTGCTCCACAACAAAATAAGGTAGTCAATTGTGTACAAAACGATCACCTAGGTAGGACCACCCGCACCTTATTACTCCATTATAATGTTCCTTTACAATTCTGCATGGGGTTCTAGTTGTATTTTACCTAATCAACAATATGCCTTCATTTTTTTAATAAGGTACGATTTTATTACAAAGGTACCAAGATGGTATGAGTTACAACAGTCCAACATCTGCCACTAACATGGCAACTACAAATCTCCTATCTCTTCTAAAAAGTCCAAGTACTGCTCCATTTTTCAATAGTACTTCTGGAAACAAGTTATCTTCTCCCTTCATAACAGACACTATTTCTTTCCAACCAAATTGTCCATGAAACACACAAAGGAATTGTCCTCCATACTGCTTGTCTAATGTTTGCCATTTTCTGATGATGCCATTGTTCCAACAAGCTCTTAACACTGTTAGGCATTACCCACTTAACGCATACAAAATCACACCTACAAATTATTATGTCCTTCATCCTAATGAACCTTTGCCTAAACTTCTACCTAGGATTTTTGGAGCATCAACGCGATACGACTAATCAATGTGTACTTGTTATCTCTCACGGGTACCGGGTAATTCCATCCAACAAGGCTTGGATAAATGAAAGAAACCACCTAAATTTAACTGTGGTCTCCGATGATCAACTCCAACTGCATCGACCACCAAGCACACTAAGCACACTCTGGGTAGTTGGGATATATATTATCATTCTATATTGGATGTTGAAATGTCAATCGCAATCTCTATGAAAGTACTACATTCCCGGTTAGGTATTTTTGTATTCTATAAATTGCATGTCTAACTTCAGAGAATCGTACATTTCTTTCTTGCTTCTCGCTTAAAGGCCAATGGACCTTCTTATGCAAATTGGTTTGATAATGAACATGATCATGTAAATTGGAACTTTTGGACCTATATGTTTCGAAGAATGGGGTTCAACAGAAATGGAACCCATATAAGACAACTATGTTTTAATGCTAAAATTATCTACTTTGTTGAAAGGCACGAATATGGTTTGTTGAGAGTTTGTTCTCTAAAATCTCTAGCATATCCACTGATTCAGGCATATGAGAAGAAATCATTTAGTGTTTGTTGCTTCTGCTTGAAGCAAAAAAAGTTCTTTTTTGTTTCACTCATAGTTTTGGTGTACAAAATATACACTGATATGTAGATAATGGGACAAACTTGATAGATGGTTTGGGATCTAATACTTTGTGACTGTTGGAAGGGAATCCGAATATAATATAGTTGAGGAAAGAGATTTATTACTAGAGAAGTGATCAGAAGCTCCTGGATCAATGAACCCAAGGGTCAAGCACAGAAGATTGAAAGACATAGGCAATTGGGTCTAGGTTACCTGTTTGGACAACAAATGCAGATGAGAGTTGTGGAGATATTTGAAACCGTGCCTCCTTATAAGAAACTCTTTTTTATTCAAATAAGCGGAACATCATATTGCTCAAACAACATGAGATCACTTTCTTATAAGCAATGTTTCCAAATCCAGGTGATATGGTGATTGGAGCGGAAGAAGTTGAAAACTCTGGCAGAAAACCAAACAAGCTACCAAAACGTCTTTTTGCTGTAAAAAGTTCTAGAATATTCTATTGGCCAAAAAGTGACTTAAGAGTTTCTGAGAAAATTTGATAGAGGAGTTCCTTGCACCCAAGAGTGCAGCTTAGTTGTCAATGAAGTGGGAGGAGAACCATGAGATCTTTCCCCGCGAAGGCAAAAAAAACACTAGGTAATTTCTTCTCATTTGCCTAAGTTTTGGTGGGTAGAGTTACCCGGTACCGGTAACTGTGCTGGTCAATTGTAGCAGCTTCCCGGTGAAATAGTCGAGGTGCGCACAAACTAGCGTGACACTAGCATCATTAAAAAAAAAGGAGTTCCGTGGACAAGTTGACCTTTAGGAGAGCTGGCTGGAAGATTGCCGAAAGTTAAAGTGAGGATATCCAGAAAACTGATCTTGCGGAAAATAGGCTGACCCTCACGGACAACTTATACAGCCATCAGAAAATGCGCAGAGACAATCTTTTTTTCCTCCCTGATGTCGTTGACTGATACCACATGAGAAATGAAGAAATACAAAGGAGAAAAAAATGGAGAATGTATTGCTTGATATTCCTCAAGCTATAGGGTGTATTAAATAGTACATACACCGATTTTGAACTATAGGAAAGAAGTCAACGTTACATAGTTACAAGAAAATGATATCTCCCTATCTGATTTAGTTAGTATACAGCATATCTACATCTTTTATTTAATAAAGAGCATATCTACACAATATTCTTAATAGTCTGCTTCACATATTTGCTCAAAACCAAAAAGTAAAAAAATGCTTAATAAGCATAAGAGGCATTAGTGTGTCCTACACTGCTATTATCATCTAAAACAAATAAAGAGGGGAAAATTCTATTATGGTACTAGTTAGACAAATTTTAAAGACACTGGACAATTCTAGAATGTCCAGCAACAACAGCGATCTGACGGAGGAACTACACGCTCCTATTTCAGCATACCAATTTTTTTAGTACAGAGGGGATGGGGAAGGCATAGCGCCTTATGAATATTCAGCCTTTCAGATAAAGCTGAGGAATAGAGCCACAGTTAGCAATGGAGAATAAGGTAAATGAAGAAAACTTATCATCAGAGTCAATGATTTAACACTAGTAGCATTAATTATGTCCTATGTCAACGAAAGAAAGACTAGCACAAAGTTTTCTCTCGTTAGTAATTAAAGAAACTTAAGTACTAGGCGGTGTTACTAGCCAAAAATAGCCAGCAAATAGCATAACCTGTTAAAACAACTACACCATGTCTAATACAATTCTAGTGGGAAGGGGATGGTCTAGAACTTTACCAACATTAGGCCCTTTTGGGTATAATTGACGAACACCCTGATCTTCCAAACTTGGGAGTACATCATCAGTCTGCACCAATGACAAAAACAATACTGAGCCACTTGCACATAGTCATCAAACAAAAACCACCGGGCACAACTTAATTTCAGGAACACAACTGACAAACAAATTCACAAAAGACAAGCACAGAGTAACCAGAAAAAGTATTCTTGATAAAAAGTCATTTACCCAATCCAGTTCAATATAATATAAGATAAAGGCGAGAGCCTTATTGAAAGCCTCATTCATATTTCGGAATACATAAAATCCAAACCTTTGCTACTCAAATAGCTCAATGAACTTAATATTAGCATCAGACATTTCCCCCTTACTCTTTTGCATTAATTTTTTCTGCACACATTGAATTAATTCCAGACTTTTACCCCAAAAGCAATATGTGAACAAATTGAGAATGTGATTCAATCTATACATAAATTAACAAAAAGAAAATCTTTCAAGGAAAAGAGCTAGCAAGAATCTCAAATACACCTTATTATACATTTAAATACATACCACATTAAGCACAAGTGAGCAATTGGGTATCATAGGGTAGTTTTTCTTTTTTCTTTTTTCTTTTTCTTTTTTTTTTTTTGGAGGGGGGGAGGAGGAGGAGGAGAACAGGTGACAGACATTACATACAGTGTAGTTGCTACCAAAGAGGGTGAGAGAACAGGTGAGAGACATTACATACAGTGTAGTTGCTACCAAAGAGGAGATAGGTGCCGTCAATGGGAGGGGGAGGTTCAGGAGTAGAGTTGGGGTCTTGAAGATAGTCCTTATACAGCCTGTAATACGGCGGCGGCGGTGGGTATGTCGCTGTCGACATATCTGATCTGATTTCACTTAACCAACGTTTCTTTTCAACCAAAAATGGTGATTTATCTCGGCGTTGAGTCGACACTTGGACAGAGAAATGTCGGACCTCTGCAGTAGTGTATTGCCGACGGGAACACAAATTATTGTATCATAAACTTCCTTTTTGTTACTTTGACCCCTTTGGCTTATCAAATTATTGTTTTTACTATTGTAGCAAATAAAAGTTCAAAGTTGTCCCTTAAGTTTGGACTAAAACTCAAAATCGTCTTTATCCTTTAATATAGAGCATTACTACTCCTTTATATCAATATTTTAAATGGCTTTCTTGGGAATCGCTTCGAGACTAGTCCCGAAGTAGAGTACTGTCAAAATGTTCTGAGGCGCATGTGGGGCTTAATTCTGTAAGGATTACGCTTCAAACGCCCGACTGTGCACCCAAAACACACCTAACGCTCACCGTTCGAGACTCGTCTAACAGTTCCTAGTGCAATCATGCGTCAAATCTCCTAATTAGCATTGTTAATACTCAAATTCTTTAATAAACAAATAATTAATATTTTTATTCATCTACAAGGTATGGAAATTGAGAGTAACTCAAAATAATGAGCTATACTACTGCATAATTACTAATTGAGAACATCGGAGAGTGAATATCATTTGAATAAGGCAAAATACATAAGTTACCCCCTGAACTATGAACCAAATCCCTGTTACACACTTTTTGTGGACAAAAATTATCTTACACACTCAACCTTTTAAAAGTGTGTCTAAGACACATTACTTTTAACAGTTGGCGGGCGCGTGTTTATACATAAAAGAGGCAAGTGGAGTTAAATCTTTTGGGTCTGAACCATTATCTAAATGCCACATATCCAGCCTTCTTTATTTTTTAAAAATTTTAGAGTCATTTGGATGATGTTTATTTTTAATATTCTTAATATTCCTTACCTTCTCCTATTTATACCACACTAATGATGATTAATACATATAATATTACACTAATCTGTCCGCAAATTAACAATTGGCAGATTGTTAAAGAATGAATTTGTTCAAGTTGGAGATGTAA